ACAGAAAGGGGACAAGTTTAGTCTTATGCAATGTCCTAAGAATGATGTGGAACGAAATAGTATGGAATCAATTTCATATGCTTCTGTTGTGGGCAGTTTGATGTACTTGCAAACTTGCACGAGGCCTGATATTAGCTTCGCCGTTGGAATGCTTGGTCGATATCAAAGTAATCCTGGATTGGATCACTGGAAAGCTGCAAAGAAAGTGATGAGATACCTTCAAGGGACGAAGGATCATATGCTCACATTTAGGAAACCTGATCGCCTTGAGGTGATTGGATATTCAGATTCAGATTTTGCTGGGTGCCTTGACAGTCGCAAGTCAACGTTTGGCTATGTTTTTCTCCTCGCCGAAGGGGCAGTTTCATGGAAAAGTGTCAAACAATCTGTCATAGCTGCATCTACTATGGAGGCTGAATTTGTGGCTTGTTTTGAGGCTACAATTCATGCATTATGGCTGCGGAACTTTATTTCGGGACTTGGGGTTGTCGACACCATTACCAAGCCGCTGAAATTGTATTGTGATAACTCCGCAGCAGTTTTCTTCTCCAAAAACGACAAATATTCCAAGGGTGCAAAACACATGGAATTAAAGTATTTTGCCGTTAAGGAGGAAGTTCAGAAACAAAGAGTGTGCATTGAACATATAAGAACGGACCTTATGATTGCCGATCCGTTAACTAAAGGTCTACAACCAAAGACATTTAAAGAACATGTACATAGAATGGGTCTTGGTTGTATTGATGATTGATTATGATGATGTTATAGCACACTCTTGAGCTCATTGATATTATGTTTCTGACTATTATCGAATTTCTTGTTCATTATGATTTTGTATACATTATGTTTAGAACAAGAAATGAATGTCTTCATGACAATTAAATAGACCTTATGATATTTTATATAATTATGGAACTTGATGTGTTGAACTATTAGTGTAGTAGTATATGGAAGGAAGTATGCGAATCGAGAGTGTACAACCGCCATAACTCTCACTATATGGTTTATCATGTCATAGTTTATTATGATGTATGGCATAACGGGATTTGTTTATGTGCACCTAATGTTATACTATTAAATTATGGGCTTTCGAACCAAGTGGGAGAATGTAAGAATATGTGGCCCGAAAGCATTGGGCTCACATTTAATTATCCTATTGGGCCAGAATTATTTAATAGTCAAACAAATATAAGCCATTAATCTGGATATTTGATGGACGTACCAGATCTAAAGACACCCCTATATAAATTAGTCCTCTCTCCTCCTATTAGGGTACGCAGTTTTATCCCATCACTTTTCTGCTACGTTAAGGAACGGCCAAGAGGGAGAAACTGATTTAGATCTAATACTCGATTCAATCTCTTGTGATCATCAAGATCAAGATCACATATTATGTCGTCTTCCGCATCAAGTAAGTATTTCATGTACACCAAATTATTTATTCAAGATCCTTAATGATGTTTACAAAATTATTTTGGGCCCGGTCATGTTGGGCCAGGCCTTGCTGATTCTCCTATCCAAATTGGCTCTTATGGGGTCAATTCTGTCCCGACATCTACAGGTTTGAGTTCGGGTCAATGGCAGACGTTAGTTAATCTTGTGAGCCCTAATAATTCTGAAACTACCGTTTCTAATCTCTTAATTGGTAAGGATTATTATCGTAGTTGGATGTTTGATTGTGTTGCTACACATTACATGACTGGATTTTTTCATTACCTTGTTGATATCTATAATTTTTCACCTCGACCAGTGCAACTTCCTGATGGACAATTGGCTGTTGCGACTAAAGCCGACAAAGTTTGCCTTAGTTAAAATTTGGTCTTGATTAGTGTCCTATTGTTCCTAGTCTCAAATGCAGTCTCATTTCGTTATATCATTTGCTGGAGGATCATGAGTGTATAGCCCACTTCACTAATGTGGATTGATTAATACAGGACCGTACTACGAGGACGGTGATTGGTCTGAGTGAACAAAAGGGGAGTTATATTTTTTTCGTGATCCTATGAAGACGGTGACGACCAAGGTATCTGTTGGCGGATCTATGGACTTGTGGCATCAAAGATTGGGATACCCACCTCCACAGGTTATTGGGAATTAGCCTTGTAATTTATCTTCTAGTCATGTTAGTAGTTTTGGCAATAAAGCTTGCGATGTCTGTTATTATGTCAAGCATACTAGAGACTCATTTCCTTTGAGTGACAGTATTACTTTAGAACCTTTTGCTTTGATTCATTGTGATTTATGTGGTCCTTATCGAGTCCCATTGTTTTATGGAGCTAGATATTCTTTGACAATTGTTGATGATTTTTTTTCGAGTTGTGTGGCTTTATTTGTTGGATGACAAAAGTTGTGTTTCTGCTACTTTAACTGGTTTTTTTGTCATGGTGCAATGACAGTCTAATAATTGGTGAAAATTGTTAGAAGCTATAATGGGACTGGATTTATGTGTCTCACTTTATATTTTCGGGACTCTTGTGTTGCAACTCCTCAACAGAATGGTCGAGTACAATGCAAGCATCGCCACATCCTCAATGGGTGTGCACTTTGCGTTTTCAGGCTAATATGCCCATTGAATTTTGAGGACACTGTGTCTTGACTGTCGGATACTTAATCAACCGTACTCCCACTGAAGTTCTACATGGGAAAAGTCCCTATAATGTTCATTTGGCAAATCACCCTCTCTTACACATCTTCGTGTTTTTGGTTACTTGTGCAATGTCCATAATTTAGATCGTTCGGGGGGATAAATTTTCTACTCGTAGCAAAAAGTGCATTTTTGTGGGCTATCCCTTTGGAAAAAAGGGCTGGTCAGTTTTGATCTTGACACTCGACAGTTTCTGGTTTCTCGAGATGTTAAATTTTGTGAGGACTGATTCTTTTTTTCCACTCCACATGTTTCAGAGACTAATCATGTACCACTTCCTCCCACTACACCACGGCTTGTTATTGAAGATGAGTCCTCACATGTTCATAATTATGAGCCAGTCACCTCTCTCGACCCAACATCCTCATCTCCTTCCGGGGGGCGCTGGCTCTAACTATATGGTGTCTACTGAGCTCTTGGGCCGTGGTCATCGGACGAAGATTCCTTCCCGTCAGACTGCGTGATCATGTCATCAATATTATTATTTACCTCTTATATATAAAATTAGACATTGTAAGTGCTCTTATAGTAATGAAGTGTGATAGTAAAAATATTTAACTTTTAATAATTACTACGCATATTTTCTCAAAAACTATGAAGGGCTAATCCGCGTAATATATAGACCGTATAATGTTAATATTTATAGATAGAATTCTACATTCACCATTTAATAGAAATAGAAAATAAAAAGAGGACATATCATTTTTTCTCTCAATTCTTAAACATATTTCAATCGATCATCTCCATTTGAGATTCCATAGGATTTTTATATGAAGAGATCACTAGTAACTGTAAATTAATCGAATGTTAGCAAAGAATTAAACACAACTGTTTGCATTCGATAATAATTATGCATATTAATTTTATTATATATTTATAGACTAGTACAACGCCCGTGTATTACACGGGTGCTTGCTAATTTTTCCCTTAAAATTTAAAATTAATGAGAAAAAATAGTTGAAATTTAAATACCTTTATTGAAATATATATTATTATATATTTAGTATGCGATTTTTTATTTGTGTGATTTACTTGTGTTATTTTAAAATAATTTTTTTAATTTACAACATATAACTACATTAAATATAAATATATCAACTGAGAAATAGTTTTATTTTTCTAATAAATTTTAGTAAATATTATTATTTTTTATTATTATAAAGATAAATATAATTCATTTATTTTATATATACAATATGAATGTCAAATCGAAGATCATGAAAAAATGATTAATTTGATATATTATATATGTAAAATCGATAAGAAATACAAAAGTTATCAACTTTTAAAATACATTTATAATTCAATAGCTAAATTGATGGAAACAAATCAAAAGTCAGGGATATATTAGTCACTTAGTGTCCCACTATACAAAATTACAAAGAATTAAATGGTTATATTAGTACAAGTGATATTAAAATACCTAAGTTAGCTAAATAATATTTATGGAATGTCCGAACCTAGATTATTAATTATTAATATATCAATATTATTTGTCCAAACCTAATTACGAAGCATGATTCTTCGCCAAATAGGATTCCGAAGCACCAGAAGCAGCCACGTAGGCTCAACGTCATTCGGGAATTATATATAGGGAGGATATCTTTATTCATGATATCTATATGCATATTATCTTTAAATGGAATTTATGAAGTACCAATACATATACCCTCTTTTCTTTTTTTT